CTTAAAATTAGAAATATTGACCCATAGCATTCAGGCTTTACTTACAGGTTTGAACTGTTATTTACTATCAGTAGCCAAAACAAAATCTTAAGATTCCATTATTTGTCGAGTTTAAAGGCATTATCCCATTTCTGGTCGAGGGGACATGAGTAATAATATAGTCAAAAATCTCTTAAAATTAGAAATATTGATCCATAGCATTCATATTCTGCTCACAAGTTAGAAATGTTATTTACTATCAGTAGTCAAAAGAAAATCTTAAGATTCCATTATTTGTCGAGTTTATAGGCGTTATCCGATTTCTGGTCGAGGGGACATGAGTAATAATATAGTCAAAAATCTCTTAAAATTAGAAATATTGACCCATAGAATTCATATTCTGCTCACAAGTTAGAAATGTTATTTACTATCAGTAGCCAAAACAAAATCTTAAGATTCCTTTATTTGTCGAGTTTATAGGCATTATCCCATTTCTGGTCGAGGGGACATGAGTAATAATATAGTCAAAAATCTCTTAAAATTAGAAATATTGACCCATAGCATTCAGGCTTTACTTACAGGTTTGAACTGTTATTTACTATCAGTAGCCAAAAGACAAACTTAAGATTCCATTATTTGTCGAGTTTATAGGCGTTTTCCCATTTCTGGTCGAGGGGACATGAGTAATAATATAGTCAAAAATCTCTTAAAATTAGAAATATTGACCCATAGCATTCAGGCTTTACTTACAGGTTTGAACTGTTATTTACTATCAGTAGCCAAAACAAAATCTTAAGATTCCATTATTTGTCGAGTTTAAAGGCATTATCCCATTTCTGGTCGAGGGGACATGAGTAATAATATAGTCAAAAATCTCTTAAAATTAGAAATATTGATCCATAGCATTCATATTCTGCTCACAACTTAGAAATGTTATTTACTATCAGTAGCCAAGACAAAATCTTAAGATTCCATTATTTGTCGAGTTTATAGGCGTTATCCCATTTCTGGTCGAGGGGACATGAGTAATAATATAGTCAAAAATCTCTTAAAATTAGAAATATTGATCCATAGCATTCATATTCTGCTCACAACTTAGAAATGTTATTTACTATCAGTAGCCAAGACAAAATCTTAAGATTCCTTTATTTGTCGAGTTTATAGGCGTTATCCCATTTCTGGTCGAGGGGACATGAGTAATAATATAGTCAAAAATCTCTTAAAATTAGAAATATTGATCCATAGCATTCAGGCTTTACTTACAGGTTTGAACTGTTATTTACTATCAGTAGCCAAAACAAAATCTTAAGATTCCATTATTTGTCGAGTTTATAGGCGTTATCCCATTTCTGGTCGAGGGGACATGAGTAATAATATAGTCAAAAATCTCTTAAAATTAGAAATATTGGCCCATAGCATTCAGGCTTTACTTACAGGTTTGAACTGTTATTTACTATCAGTAGCCAAAGCAAAATCTTAAGATTCCATTATTTGTCGAGTTTATAGGCGTTATCCCATTTCTGGTCGAGGGGACATGAGTAATAATATAGTCAAAAATCTCTTAAAATTAGAAATATTGACCCATAGCATTCAGGCTTTACTTACAGGTTTGAACTGTTATTTACTATCAGTAGCCAAAAGACAAACTTAAGATTCCATTATTTGTCGAGTTTATAGGCGTTTTCCCATTTCTGGTCGAGGGGACATGAGTAATAATATAGTCAAAAATCTCTTAAAATTAGAAATATTGACCCATAGCATTCAGGCTTTACTTACAGGTTTGAACTGTTATTTACTATCAGTAGCCAAAACAAAATCTTAAGATTCCATTATTTGTCGAGTTTAAAGGCATTATCCCATTTCTGGTCGAGGGGACATGAGTAATAATATAGTCAAAAATCTCTTAAAATTAGAAATATTGATCCATAGCATTCATATTCTGCTCACAACTTAGAAATGTTATTTACTATCAGTAGCCAAGACAAAATCTTAAGATTCCATTATTTGTCGAGTTTATAGGCGTTATCCCATTTCTGGTCGAGGGGACATGAGTAATAATATAGTCAAAAATCTCTTAAAATTAGAAATATTGATCCATAGCATTCATATTCTGCTCACAACTTAGAAATGTTATTTACTATCAGTAGCCAAGACAAAATCTTAAGATTCCTTTATTTGTCGAGTTTATAGGCGTTATCCCATTTCTGGTCGAGGGGACATGAGTAATAATATAGTCAAAAATCTCTTAAAATTAGAAATATTGATCCATAGCATTCAGGCTTTACTTACAGGTTTGAACTGTTATTTACTATCAGTAGCCAAAACAAAATCTTAAGATTCCATTATTTGTCGAGTTTATAGGCGTTATCCCATTTCTGGTCGAGGGGACATGAGTAATAATATAGTCAAAAATCTCTTAAAATTAGAAATATTGACCCATAGCATTCAGGCTTTACTTACAGGTTTGAACTGTTATTTACTATCAGTAGCCAAAAGACAAACTTAAGACTCCATTATTTGTTGAGTTTATAGGCGTTTTCCCATTTCTGGTCGAGGGGACATGAGTAATAATATAGTCAAAAGTCTCTTAAAATTAGAAATATTGACCCATAGCATTCAGGCTTTACTTACAGGTTTGAACTGTTATTTACTATCAGTAGCCAAAACAAAATCTTAAGATTCCATTATTTGTCGAGTTTAAAGGCATTATCCCATTTCTGGTCGAGGGGACATGAGTAATAATATAGTCAAAAATCTCTTAAAATTAGAAATATTGACCCATAGAATTCATATTCTGCTCACAAGTTAGAAATGGGACTTACTATCAGTAGTCAAAAGAAAATCTTAAGATTCCATTATTTGTCGAGTTTATAGGCGTTATCCCATTTCTGGTCGAGGGGACATGAGTAATAATATAGTCAAAAATCTCTTCAAATTAGAAATAGTGATCCATAGCATTCATATTCTGCTCACAAGTTAGAAATGTTATTTACTATCAGTAGCCAAGACAAAATCTTAAGATTCCATTATTTGTAGAGTTTATAGGCATTATCCCATTTCTGGTCGAGGGGACATGAGTAATAATATAGTCAAAAATCTCTTAAAATTAGAAATATTGACCCATAGCATTCAGGCTTTACTTACAGGTTTGAACTGTTATTTACTATCAGTAGCCAAAACAAAAACTTAAGATTCCATTATTTGTCGAGTTTATAGGCATTATCCCATTTCTGGTCGAGGGGACATGAGTAATAATATAGTCAAAAATCTCTTAAAAATTAGAAATATTGACCCATAGCATTCATATTCTGCTCACAAGTTAGAAATGTTATTTACTATCAGTAGTCAAAAGAAAATCTTAAGATTCCTTTATTTGTCGAGTTTATAGGCGTTATCCCATTTCTGGTCGAGGGGACATGAGTAATAATATAGTCAAAAATCTCTTAAAATTAGAAATATTGACCCATAGCATTCAGGCTTTACTTACAGGTTTGAACTGTTATTTACTATCAGTAGCCAAAAGACAAACTTAAGATTCCATTATTTGTCAAGCTTATAGGCGTTATCCCATTTCTGGTCGAGGGGACATGAGTAATAATATAGTCAAAAATCTCTTAAAATTAGAAATATTGATCCATAGCATTCATATTCTGCTCACAACTTAGAAATGTTATTTACTATCAGTAGCCAAGACAAAATCTTAAGATTCCATTATTTGTCGAGTTTATAGGCGTTATCCCATTTCTGGTCGAGGGGACATGAGTAATAATATAGTCAAAAGTCTCTTAAAATTAGAAATATTGACCCATAGCATTCATATTCTGCTCACAAGTTAGAAATGTTATTTACTATCAGAAGCCAAAACAAAATCTTAAGATTCCATTATTTGTCAAGTTTATAGGCGTTATCCCATTTCCGGTCGAGGGGACATGAGTAATAATATAGTCAAAAGTCTCTTAATATTAGAAATATTGATCCATAGCATTCATATTCTGCTCACAAGTTAGAAATGTTATTTACTATCAGTAGCCAAAACAAAACCTTAAGATTCCATTATTTGTCAAGTTTATAGGCGTTATCCCATTTCTGGTCGAGGGGACATGAGTAATAATATAGTCAAAAATCTCTTAAAATTAGAAATATTGACCCATAGAATTCAGGCTTTACTTATAGGTTTGAACTGTTCTTTACTATCAGTAGCCAAAAGACAAACTTAAGATTCCATTATTTGTCAAGTTTATAGGCGTTATCCCATTTCTGGTCGAGCGGACATGAGTAATAATATAGTCAAAAGTCTCTTAAAATTAGAAATATTGACCCATAGAATTCATATTCTGCTCACAAGTTAGAAATGTTATTTACTATCAGTAGCCAAGACAAAATCTTAAGATTCCATTATTTGTAGAGTTTATAGGCGTTATCCCATTTCTGGTCGAGGGGACATGAGTAATAATATAGTCAAAAATCTCTTAAAATTAGAAATATTGACCCATAGCATTCATATTCTGCTCACAAGTTAGAAATGATATTTACTATCAGTAGCCAAAACAAAATCTTAAGATTCCATTATTTGTCAAGTTTATAGGCGTTATCCCATTTCTAGTCGAGGGGACATGAGTAATAATATAGTCAAAAATCTCTTAAAATTAGAAATATTGATCCATAGCATTCAGGCTTTACTTAAAGGTTTGAAATGTTACTTACTATCAGTAGCCAAAACAAAAACTTAAGACTCCATTATTTGTCGAGTTTATCTTTTAAAATTAGAAATATTGACCCATAGCATTCATATTCTGCTCTCAAGTTAGAAATGGGATATACTATCAGTGGCCAAAAGAAGAGCCTAAGTCAGAAGGAATGGGTGCATAGTCAGAAAGAAATGCGAACATGAGTGACTTTTAGTGTAGTGTAAGCATAGAGTTCTAGATAATTTTTGTCATTAAACAATATATCACATGACTAACCACGGGTCCAGGCAGTCATGTGGGTACCCGGGTCCAACTCAGTACCCACCTGACCCGGGTACCCGAGTTACCCGTTGCAGCCCTAATAAATTCACACATTGTCACACAAAGAAATACTCATGTTACAAAATGACATGTCACTGTGGTTCGTGTACATCAAATTACTTTTATCTTTTTACTTCTTGTAAAGATAATATATGTGGGTGTTGACATCAGTGTGCAAGCACAATCATCACAACACATCCAGCAGGTCAGTCATCCTGTATAACAGAGGCATTTTAATCCTCCCTGTGTGAACCAAACCGTCATTATTCGTCATCCACAGTGATGTGGACACCCCTCCCTGGAACTTGACTGGCATCAAATTCTGTTGATTTACATTCATAGTTGACTTCTTCATAGGGTTTATTCAGCACATCCATCAGAATATAAATTATAGCTTCCTTTACCCCAACATACATCAGGTAATCTGTGGCAGCTCTGAAGTGTGAAAAAACATATGTTTATGTAAAAACAATTGACTAAGCACCGTAGCTCACAAAGACATCAACACATGTAGGCAACAGTTTGAAATATCAACAAAGCCAGTCATCTAACAGGATTTGTTGTAAGCATTGTCATTCTGCCAAATAGAACTATTTAAAGAAAACGCAATGAATATACATGTATCCAGAAATTGCAGCCTTACTGAAATATTTGGTTAACACATGTGACTTCATTGGAACAAGTATGTGATGTTGCAGTGTCATTGTTTATGTGGTTTCTAAGGAGAAGAGAGACATCAGAAAGGGGCTTTGCACATTGTACCCATGTGGGGAATCAAACCCGGGTCTTCAGCTTGATGAGCGAATGCTTAACCAGTAGGCTGCCCTACCACCCCGAAGGAGAAGATGTTTACTCAGATGACAGATAACCAGTCCATGACATTAACTGGGTACAATGACATACAGTGTGGCAGGCAAAAATATTTGACCATCTCATACTGACTTTTGTTATTTGAGCATGACAGTCACTTGAACTGTGTACCCCATGAGCAACATTCCATTCCATTAGCATTCTGTCAGTGCTAATTTACTGTTAAGTGTTGGCTTCCATTTGTTCTTTGGTAATCACCTATCAGCACCAATTATCTGTTGGCTTCCCTTGTTAAGTTACCACCTTTGTTATCTAATTACTTTTGTTGTTCTTACAGGTACATACATATATATGTTCTCTGCCTCATAGCATTCATTCATCTGATGAAGGAGTAAGTGTATACTCTGAAATGTTGTGTTCCTCATAATAAAGAAGTTGACATCCATAAATTCTCTTCCTCATGTGTATTGTTGAAAGACATTATAACATAACATTATGACAGTTTATGTTCCTTATCAATACCTTAATAAGGTTTGTGGTGAGTAAAAGAAAAATAGCTGATCACCTCCATGGACTATAGGAAGATTGTCTGCCCTGAGAGCAGGAACATTAGGGTTTGATCTCCTGCTGCGTCATACCAAAAGACGTTAAAAGATTGCTAACGCAAATTGTTTAACCTTTAATACAGTTTGCTGACTCCGACCCAACTAGTACTTGTTTTAGCCCCTTATTGTCGAGCACCAGACAGGGTAGGAACAAGTACAACCTTTTATCTTCTTTTGGTATGACGTGGCTGAGGGTCGAACCCATGACCCTCTTCTCTCCAGGTGGATGCTCTATCCACTAGACCACGGTGGTGTAAATCATGTGTTTTTTCAACATAAAGGTATTCTTACATCATGTGCTTTTGCGTTAAAAGTTCCAGCTTCTTTTCAACCTTGCACTTGAACAGTCGCATACTCCCCGAGTATATCCTCCTGTATCAACAAAGAAATCCATCATTTCATCATAGTCAGCTGTTGGGTAAGTACCTCATGAGGCAGAACATAGGTCCATAGCAACATATGCTAACCTAGTTTATCTGATGGTCAGGTTTGATGACTTGGTTTATTACATGTCAAGTGGAAGTGTCTCTATGTCAGTGTGTTTGACAGTTTACTGCCTGCATTGTTCCTTATTTGATGGCAATATGTGTCATGTGTAGAGTACTTCATCAGGAATTACATGACATTCCATGAATGAAAACAAAAGTCAATCCTACGATACATTTTTAGTAAATGCAAATAAATGTAACATTAAAGGGGCACTGATCTAACGCAATTCCCCGGGACTGGTTGTTGCCTTTGTTATTGTTTTTTCCCAGTGAGTACCCGGATGTATAGCAGAAATCTAGACTAGTTCGCGACCTCTGCTGCGCAATTCGTAAGCGCATCAGTCACTTTTATGGGTAGTAATAAGGGCGTATGGTCACATTGATCAACAAAATGAAATACAGTTTTCGAGATAATAGGGAAATGTAGGTATCTTTGTGGGTAGCATCGGTAATGGTGACGAAGTTTTGATAAGTCACTTGCTTGGTAATTTTGCGATTTTCGTTTACACTATTTTGACTTGCAACACAAAGTAAATATTTCACCTGAGCATTGCCTTTTTTTATAGTGTGTATATTTTTTTACTGTCAAAATGTGTAACATTTTCAAATTAATTTTAAAGTCTAAATATTCAGTTATTTTACAAAGTGACTGAAAAACATTTCCATCTGTATTATTATGATAACGAATTCCAAACATTTTGATGTTTAATGTCATCACCAAGAGACTGAAAATGTTACGTTGAAAAGTACATGTCTATGTTGAGTGGCTTCTAATCCTACATAATAATCTGTTATAATGTTTGTAGGCCCTTTTGATCATCTTAATCAATCTGGACAGATTTTTTAGTCAAAATGACTGAAATATTTACACATTTTATAGATTGCCTGAGAGAATCACATTTTACAAATTGACGGTAATATATACACGCTTAGAAAGGAAAAGACCTGTGGAAAAAACATCTTTCGCGCATTGAAGAATTTCCCAACCAAGACGTAGAGAAACAAGACCAAATCGGTTCAAATGAAGGAAAACAAAATGCAAATACCATAATTGCAACCTACCAAATTTATGTGTATAAATTTTAGGAGCTTCCTTGTTCGAGGAATGTATCCATGAATATCCACACAAATGAACAATATCCCACTCGTCTGCAGCTGTACAAAGAAACTTATTTGATGTCACGTGTCTCTGTAACAATCAAATATTTTAAAAGATATATATCGTTTCGGGATATTATAACCCGTGTTCGTTTCTCAACTGATCACTCGGATTGTTTCAGGTGTTTCACATAGGTGTCAAGTCTCAAGGGTCGGCTGAGACAGCCAACGTGACAACTATTTTCATAACGCCCAAGGTTCCTAAAAATCCATTGAGTGATAGATAACAATGAGCAATCAATCAACGTATTATCAGTTAACCCTTTGAACAAAGTATGTTGTTTTTTACATCGGCACTTCACGCCATGATATGAGTGTATTCCCTTTGTTTTAGTAAACCTAGACATGTAAACACTCACTTTTGACATATCCACTGTGCAAGATAACAGTGATTAATCAATCAACGTATTTTCTGTTAATCCTTTGATGACTAGGAACGATCTGTTGATTTACAACAAAAAAGTAAATCAACTGATCATTCACCTCTTGCTGGTCTGCCACGTGCATATTACATAACACACATTTCACCTCACTTCAAACCTGGATTTAGATTTAATAATTACCCCAGACACAATAAATGCCAAATGGGAACCTTTGTCAGGTAATCTAAGTGATGCTACCAATAATTGTACCTGTAATAAATTCATTAACTGAGCATCAAGTGAATGACGACAAATACACAAGTGTAGGGTTATACGAGAAAACGTGGATGACAACAAGGGTTTGGGTAATCGTATTATCGACGCAATCCGACTATAACTATAACTATAACCATCTGGGGTATTTCCAAATGAGGACATCCGATGAGCTCCGCTATCTTTTTGTCTGTTTAGGGTGAAGAAATTAATTAATATGCGCCCTTTGTCGAAATCTTTATAGATCACAGTTAACCAATCAGTGGTTATGCAAAAATTCGTAAAACAAATATTGCCTCCAGCCTCCAAGTTTATTTAGCTGTCCTTGCAGACGGTAGCCCAGTCTCCGGTCACGCTCTGTTGCGTTGCGTATCATCCGGTTACTCACGGGGAAAAACCAATAACAAAGGCAACAACCAGTCCCGGGAATTGCGTTAGATCAGTGCCCTTTTAAGCCAATCATTGTATCTGTCTCATTCCTCTGGTATAACCTCAAAACCGAAATATAATGTACGTTATCAGAAATTATTTGAAACAACCTTGAAAATATGAAAGTGTCACAAAATATTAATATTTAATACCGTGTATCTTTCAGTCTTGTTAATGTCAAAGCTGACATCAAGTACTGGAGCATTTTTTGCTGCATCTGAAACAATAATAAAAGTATGCAAAATAAATAGGGAATACACGTCTTGTTATGTAGTGAAGTAAGTAGTAAGCAAATATAAGCAGATATAGCAACACTAATAACATTTCGTTCAGTCTTTTAGTTAAAAGCACAAGTTAATTTTGAACGTGTTTAAATTGTACTTGTGACAACAGGGGCACCACATTTTCCTCATGACTTACCACCATGCACTTTCAGATAAAAATACTGTGTGTGGGAATAAAAGTGGAAAAAACATTTTCATAAACATTAAAAAACAAAAATCAACAAATCCCTTTCTATTATCATGTGAAATTTCTGCTGAAAGGGAAGTCTTTTTTACGAGTTTCACCATATCACAAACATGTTTTTATGAATAACTGTCAATACAGGGTGTTCAAAGAAAGGTGAGGGTGTCGTTTCCCACTTATGACACCAATCACAAACACATGCAAAGGCAAGACAAGTGACACCTTAATAAATATGGGAACATATGGTACAAGTCAAAATAAGGAATTGCATGGGACATCATTTTGGTCACTAATGCATTAAAGTTGGAAATGGCTTCCACATGTCTACCATGACATGTTTTGAAAGCTTGCTGAGGCCTTGAATATTGTAACCTTGATCAAACAAGTTGGAAGCAAGAGTATGGCACTCTTTGAAAAACTTTGTAGAAAGAGCACGCTCAATTGTACCTTAAAAGGTTGTAGCTGTTTGAAAATTGTCAGACATAAAAGCATAGTTGAGTACTAGAAAGTTGACGTCATCTTATTTGTTCTAGTCTTGTGTATACTTTACTGTCACTCTGAATCCTTATGCATAGACCAAAATATAAAACAGATGTACTAGTCTCTTTTATTTCCAGTTCAGTGGAAGGGAATGGCTACTTACATTATTGAACAATTTCAGATCATTGATATACAGGAATCTAAAGTCAAAATTCTTGACTGAATTCCTGTGTTTTTTATTTTGCCAATCCGAGCAGAAGTTCTGATTCATATGCATAAGGAAACAGATGGGCAAGGACCTGAGCACATGGCTACTACAGGAACAGATCCAACAAGAAGGTCCAATTATTCCAATTAACCTAGTAATTGCATGAACTAAATTATCTAAATAAAAATGGTACAGACGTTACTAGAAGTCAGACAAAACATATACTTAATGCAGTATGCAGTATGACTTTAAAGAGAAAGGTCCATGCTCTCACAGTGGTTGATTACTTCCTTCTATGTCTACAGTGTTATTCATAGGAAAACAATTCTTATTATGCCACAATTTCCAAACCCGAATGTACTAAAGTACCTATAATGAATTATTCACTCTTAAAACTATCTGACCGGTTATCTCAATGCATTGTCATAGTATCTTCTTACCTACATGAAATTTCATGTTATTGTAGTTTACCAAGTCTCATTTGGTGATGAAAGTAGTAATGCTTTCTCAGTAGGTGTAACCAAAAACCTTCAGGTGGGTATTTGTTCAATAATCTGTGCACTGTACTCAACAGAATACAATGACAGATTGAACCCATTTTTATACATCAAAAGAATGTAGAGCTTGACTGATATTCCTTTGAAATTGAGGTGGTATCGATTGTAGGAATCAATAAGCTGCCCGAATACATATACATGAGAATATCCCCGAAGACAACATTAGCTCTCCTATTCCAACGGATCCTTCAAGGAGTCCCAAATGACAGGGATGTAAGTTATCATGTACACAATCCTTAAAGCATGGTCTTGCATTGAAATAGCTCACAATTTTTCATGTAATGTTTCATGAGCAATGATTGGAAGGATGTTTGTTAAAAATAATATATGAGGGCAACTGTCACATTTGAGAAGGTACATACACATTGAGACAGATATCCCTCTGCAAAATTGACTCTTCGGTCTGGTGTTGGGAAGCCGCTGACAAACTCATCATGCCTTTGAAGTTGTTCCTCACTGAAAAACATATCTAAAATGAGTGTTTGTTGTTCAGAGTCCCACTCAGCAATAGCCATACTATATTGTGTCTCAACAAGACAAAATAGTGTTTTGATATTATGAGCAAAGTTCACACAGTCATAATGTATGATGTCATAAATTCATCCAGGGTCACATAGATTTACCACCTGATCCATTAAGTCTCCTGGTGTGACAAGCATAGGTTGCTAGGGACTAGTTCTAACCCAGCATCCATTAAGTCTCCTGGTGTGACAAGCATAGGTTGCTAGGGACTAGTTCTAACCCAGTATCCATTCAGGACTTTAATAAGTGCTTCATGTTTTAATGGTACTTCAATAATTCATTGTTTTAGCTTGTTTCGTTTTGGTAAAACCCACAAACACAGGTTAGGAGTAAATCAAACACTATGAGAAAGCAACTGGAATAAAAACCCAGTTATTACTATATCTGGATTGAAAGTCATTCCAAGTTATCTGCCAACAAAACTCACGATGCATCTTTTGCAGCAATTCTCTGCAGGTGTGCCACTGCCTTTTCTTTCTGTATAAATTTTAGTAAAGAGAAACATCATTAACACATGATTAAGAAAACATCTTACTGAGAGTGAATAATACCTTCTTATCAGGTATCTAATGGCAGCAACTGACATGTGCCTCTTACAATTGCTAAACTTTCAAATAATGTATTGTGAAATATGAAGGCACCATGGCAAAAACATTTATGAAGGTAATACAAGAGTACTGTTTACTCAGATATAATTTTTAGAAAAAAAAAATTAAAACAAAAGTACAACTGAAATCATCTTTAGTTAATATTTCATACTGAAAACATTGATGGATCTATGATTAAGAAACTGACACAATAATAAGGAAATTTCTTGTTGAAATTTATGATATCTCTGTGGTCAGAGATGTCATAAAGTTATATCTGATAATAGGTACAATAGGTACCAATGCAATAAACATGCAGTTACCAGCCCCTTCATTGTCCACAATGTCAAGGTCATAGAATGAGGCCTCCATCTCCAGTTCTTTCATAGTTGGCGTCTTCTTGCGTCCTGCATAGACACATTATATAAGTAACACAAATTGACCTGTAATATATCTCTAAGTATATTTTTTTTATGGAAACAACTGTAATGTTCTGCAACACATGTACTGATGTAAGATTTTTCAGCTGAGACAATGAACCATTTCAGATGTGCATGATATACAGGAAGACATATGAGCAACTGACACATTATATGGCAAATTTGTGTACTCCTTCCAACAGATATAATTATGCATCTAGGATTGATCAGTCTTGTTGATCGTACCCATCTGTATTCAGATATTACCTTTTGTTTCTGCCTTGTCTCTCCTCTTGGTTTGAGCCTGTTGTTCTCCCTTTCCTTAAAAGTATAAACATACATCACCAAGTGAAAGCATACATCACCAAGTGCAAGCATACATCACCAAGTGCAAGCATATACCTTCAGGATAAAGTAATGCTTTACATTCATTTTATTTTGAAAACATTTATTCCCTTGAAGTGTTCAATATGTGTAAATGTACTCTGAAAGGTGGCAAATTTGTACAAGTATTGATTACCCTTCTTATTGTGCATCACACCAAAACTTCTTTTTCGTGAACATTTTACCTGAACTGCATTAAAAGCAAACCTATTACATCATGTTCAACTGTATGACATACATAATGTCCGTAATCATATTTACCAGGCTTTTCTTTCATATTACTAAATTTATTGACTATGTGCATTAGCCATCCTACAAAAACACATTACCAAAGATACAGAAACTCACCCTCATTGAGCAATGTACATGTCACATGTTAGGCTGAGCTAAAGAAGAGAAATATGAGAACATGATTTGTTCAAAACACATACTGTAATTCCCAGTAAGTACTAAAGTGTTCATTGAACTTTTGTGATAACGTTTTTCTACATGACCTCATATTTGGTTGCTGATGCTGACAAAAGAATGATGACTAACAATCTATTTTTCACAATCATATTTCTATGATTCAAGGAAAATTCAAATAAACAGACACTCAGAACTATTTCTTTCTTATTGATAGTGAATGTGGTACATGGTGCTAGTCTTAAAATAAACTGCATATAGAGTAACTGTTTTCATAATGACTGCCATATCAGCCTTTCAAATCACAAGATTCACTGAAATAAAGCCAAAGACAATCAGGCAATGTAAACATGTAAACCTTAATTCTATGCATTATTTCAGTTTTTCAGAATACCAGGTCATCATAAAGATTGTAAAGAAAGAAAGGAAAACCTTCCCATAATCACATCTTGGGAAAGAACTTTTCAAAATGTTTACTACTTGCAGAAATGGCCCCTATTTTAGTGTCAAGTATTCATACTTAAAACACTAGATTACGATATACAGAACTGTAATGGAATGTCATGCTCACTATAAACAGTACACATCATAGGCTCATGGTAATGGGAAAATCATAAAAATTAACAAGTTATTTAGCATATGTTGTAGAAGTAGAAGGACCCTCAATATACAAGAACAGATCTAGATTGTCTGTGTAGGGAAATGTCTGAGTAGGGAAATGTCAGTGTTGGGAACTGTCTGCGTGGGGAAATGTCCATGTGGGGAAATGTCTGTGTGGGGAACTAGACTGTCTGAGTAGGGAAATGTCTGTGTGGTTTGTAGCTAATTACATGCAGAATGTGTTATATAGTTCAGTAGCAGACCCACAACCTAATCCAAGGGTGAGCTAATGATTACCATCTAAGATTCCTCTTTAGTTTGTGTCTTTATTTGAGTATACATACCCACAGTATGGTATAATGGACAGAATGTCACACCATGAAGTTATCCCCACATCATACAAAGGCTAAGCAATATTACTTCAGAAAAATAGATGAACATGAGATGTATGAGTACCTGTTCTGTTCTAATAATTACTGAACAAACTAATCATACCATTCTTAACAAACATATCAAGATGTCATCATGACACAATAGTTCAGCTATTGCCGAATTTTAAATATTGCTGTGTACGAAGTAGTTACATGAAACAATTAAGTTATCACTTTTCTTCAGACTAAAAATACAGGCCCAGTTCCACCATGCACTTTGCATTACTTGTTTTAGTTACATTGCATGTCAGTTCTAATAATATTGAACAAACAAACCGGTGGGAACTGAAGTAAATGATGTACTGACAGTAATCATTACAAGGCCTTACAAAATGGAAAGGAATATATGTTATTCTGGACCTACAAATCCTATCTTACAATAATGACCAAAACATTAGATATCAAATGTAAGTAGAACTTGTAAACATTAGTACCTAATCAAATTAACTTTGATCTTAATATAGAGTTAAAAAATGTAACATATACATATCATTGTATGAATGATAGTGTTGGTACTTAATCTTGCCACTGGTTGGGATGTACTGGACTCTGTCTGTTTCCTCAAATCATCCAACATTCTGACAGGTATTCAGGAATCTCATCTGCAAACAAATGATACTACATGAAACTAGTTTTCCTAAATTGTTGACAATTGTTGAATATGTGTGCTTTGTGTTTTTTGCCCAGACCCAGGGAGAACACTTGTAATGTGATTCCCATTTATCAGTTGCTGGGGTCCCCATGCTGCCATTGTCTCTGGCAGTACCTCTCTTCAGTGTGGAAATATCAGTATGAAGTATA